GGCGGCTTGCAATTGCGATCGTCGCCCGCCAGCCGGTGAAGTGTGTCCCTGGTGGGGGGAACTTTTCGTGCGTCCCCGGAGGGGAGAGAGTGGGGGGCGACTCGTTCGAATCGAAGCAAGGACAGGTAGGGGGCACGCCGGGAGAGAGGGGATAACGGGTCGAACGAGCTAACCCGAACGCTCCCCGAACCGCGCTCGTCCCTCGTCGTCGGATTCTATCTCTCTCCTCGGCTCTTCTCGTCCCTTTCCGTCGATGCTCCTTCGCTCGCCTCCCCACCCCCTCTTAGCGAATCGCACCGTACCCCGTCCTTCCATCTTTTTCTCTTCCTACCTCGTAATCTCACCGTCCTCTTCCTCCTACGTCGTTGCTTCTCAACCGCCATCTTTGTTGTACGCTTTCTCTCTCTCTCTCTAGCACGCTCTCTACAGGGCCGGTTTACGGCCAGCTAATTACCCGGGGCATCGGTACTTTCTACCGAGAATAAAGACGGAAAATCGGATTATTACGAAAATAAAAGTACTTCACTTTGTAACGTGCTCTCTAATCAAGGAAGTAACGATCAAACAAACGCGTCAACAGGATCGACTGTACTATGGTCATACCGAAGCTTCCTTTGCTTTATCCCGTACCACTTGCTTTCGATTTTGAAAAGTCTCGAAATTTATCAGTTTTCAAATTTTCAGAAGTCCAAAGCTCAAATTTTTCAATTTCACGATTCCCAAATCATCAGATCTAATCATTCGAGAACTTTGAAGTATCAATCAAATCTGGTAAATCTGATGACTTGAAAAATGTTTTTCTCAGAAGAAGCCAGATTTGCCCCTCGGTGTACAAGCTAATTAATGATTTACTACTATAGCTGCTTTATGTGTAAATATCATGCGTTACGATGTTAAGGCACGAGATATCCAGCATAATGTTATTTTACCAACGCTATTTTTCTGCGATAAAATATATTATGAAACAAAAACCTGATTATATAAAACTTCTTTGACGTCTATAACAATCCTCTTTAATTCCACTTAATAAGTTTAATCGTGGCAATAAATACTCAACGATAAAAACCTCTAATTCAAATATTGAAAATACATACGACGGAAAATACGAAAAAGAGTCAGTGGCAAAAATGAAGCGTAGTTTTCGTAACACTCGCACGGTGTTACGTTGTACTTCACAATTATTCAATTTCGTCGATTTATTGCATTAATATTTATTTCTAACATTATCATATTGAAAGTTGAATAGTGATACGCGAATACTTGACTTTTCAAGCGAAGTACGGGTACCGGACCCGTATTGAGCCGAGCCTGCCCTTGCTCCATCTTGTTTCCGCTAAAATCACGTCAAAGTTGTAGATTCATGGCGTCGATGCGGTGGCTGCGACTTCACGAGGTCTACTGTTCATTTATCCTTTCGTGTTGCATGTTCTTTTTACGGTACACGACAGTTTGCTCATACGAAATTAACTCTATTGGCGACAATACCAAACATCCGTTTGTCGGTTAGAGTACGTCATCGAGGCTAGAGAAAGCGATTTCCGTCGCACTCGAATTACTTCGTCCGAAAACGAAGCCAGTTTCATGACTGTTTCGTGCTGAGAACGTTTGTACGAGGTACGCCTATTGCGTGTTCTGTGCTGCTGATTTATAACCACACAATGTACACCGGTCGTACATTAAAGATGTTCGTTTCGTTGAAATTAGGTTATTGTTAAACAAACCATTAATTACAATATTTTATACGTGCAAGATATTTTGAAGATTCGTTAACTTTTCGCGGACGAGCAACTCTTATTCAACCATTATACACTCGCGTATAATTTCGAGGAAAATCGTTTGCAAATTCGTTATTTATGTTCAGCAAATATTTTCTTATGGAAACTAGAGATAATAATTTTATGATGATTTATGTATTTATACTATAAATAAATTTTATGATATATTACTATGTTCAAGGAAATGTATATAACTTGTTTATAAGGATACGTGTGTTAAATTAGCATGAATTTTTGTACAACGCTTTTTGGATTCATTGACCGTTTTTCTTGGGATTTATATTTTTAATTAGAACTGTTTTAGTTAAAGAAGATTTGTGAAGAAGGTCGTGTTGTAAAGTAAATTCAGTAGGTTAAAAATATTACGCGAGTCTTTTGTAGATGTTTTACCACTTTTTAATTGAGGTTTCCAAAACAGCACCTCGAGCGCCATCTAGCGGTGAGCTACAAAGTTAACGAATTAAAGAAGTTGACTTTTTTATATAAAATAAGAGGATTTTGAATGTTATTAACGAGTATAAAACAGTTTCTGATCATGATAAGAATAGAACAATTGATACATAGTTTGATTGCAGCCTTAAAATCGGTTATTTAAAAAATTGCATTTTCTGTAGTCGGAAATGCTGTTGCCATCTAGCGGCAGAAGCAATAACGAAACTACAATTCGCTTCCGCCACAAATTTTTGATGCTTTGATATTGTCACGTACATGTTTCTGCTTATTAAACTGATGTGCTGATTTTTAGAGTAGCCAATTATAAGTCATTTTTAAAAAATAAAGTGTGTATAATAAATTGTCAATAAAAAACTTTATATCATTACAGAGTCATATTTAATGTATCCCCTCTGATTAGATAAGTTTGAAAATTGTCATATTCCAGCAGAACACCCTTTAGATCTTATTTGTTACAAGTCTCAAAAATTTCATTTAAAAAAGAAAAATAAAAATCTATATAAAATACAATTTTACATGGTCATCCATTACGTGTGATTTCATTTTGATGATACATCTTGTTATCTTCCTATTTTTTCTGTGTTCAGTCACCAGACATCTAAAAAAAAAATTGTAATCAATATAAAATATGTATGATAAAGTAAAGTAAAAAATTTAAATGTAGAACAATATTTTTTCACTCCATGAGGTCGATTATATGAGGTCGTAAAAAATTATCATCCTCGAAAGTGGGTCTCCCATAAAAGTTTGAAAAACCTCTACTTAATATTAAATATGCGCATTGTATTACAGATTTGTATCATTTTATAAAATACTTTTCATGTTGAAATTTGAAATAACAAATGCTAGCGTCAATGATTTTATTCTTTACGATTTTAATTTGATATGAGCCCTAATCGATACGACAGGAAAAATGCAAGAGGGTTCTACAACCCCCGAAATTGTATGGCAACAGAAAAATGTATCGTGCGAATGGTTTGCCCTATAGCGCGGGGTTGCTATGCTGTATTATCGTTTAATACGGATCGACGATGTCTAACCCCTTTGTAATACTTATAAGTTGGAATAAGTATTCACCCACGTTATAAAGACTTTTTAAGTATACTTTTACATTTTTTCACACATATTCAACGATGCTGTCGAAAGAAAAAACTTATTCGGAAATCTCGCAACCACCCGAAGATGAACCTTCTATTTTATCGCTTGATGCGAGTGAACGAAAATTAGCTCGCAAACTCCGTATTAATCGACGTGTAGAAGCGCAAATTAGGTATGAATTAAAAGTTAAAATATTATTAAAATGTAAATATAAAAGAGCTTTTTTTAGAACGTTAGATTTAATGTAGCGATTAAAAGCTTATAATATTTTAAATGTGGAATTTTTAGGAAAACGAAGGCTCTTGATGATGAAATTATTGAAATAACTCCCGTTGAGAAACAAATTCTTGATAGTATAGAAACTTTAGAAAAGTTGGCTGCAGAAGGGGATGAAGTGGTATGTGTAATTCTTTAAACAACTAGTTGATATTATTCTTAGACAAATAGTTAAGTAACACATAATTTAAAAAGAATTGTTGCATCAAAATACACTGAAATACTTAATATAAATATATCATATGTTTGCAGGTTGCTGGTGTAAGAGTAGCAACTGATGCAAAAGAGTTGCGAAGACGAAAGGAAGTAAAGGAAACAAGAGAGAACGTATTAAAAATACTCGAAGAAGAGGACCAAAATTGCATGGAAAAATATAATGAGATCGCTAAAAAATGGCCAAGTATTCTTGCATCTAAAGACCCATTAGAAATCCATGATGAGTTGGAGGCTCAGCAAGCGAAGTGTCGTGAGATCCTGGATAAAAAGGATGCCTTAATCGCGCAATTGAAAGAAGATTTGGAACACGCAGATTTAAAATATGAAGAGGACGTGAAAAAACAGAACGAGGATATCGATTTGCTTATAGAAAGAATGGAAAACCAAGTCAGTTTCTACAGAAAAATTACTATTTTCATTTACTTATTAATTTCTAAACATAATTATTTTTCAAACTAAAAATGAACCTTTCTAATTTCGTGCAGGTGCGTACAATGACCAAAGCGTATCGTCACGAATTAAATTTGATCGAAAATGTAATCGAATCAGAGCGCAAGCTATTTCTGAAATCCTCTGTCGAGAAATGGGAAGCGTTATTTAAAAAGCTTCAAGACGATACCTTCGAAGCGAGAGAAAAGAAGAAAGAGATAATGCTCGAGTACGAAAGAGATATGAAGAAAGCGATCATAGAGCACCAAGAGAAATACAGGGAACAAAAGATTGCGTTAGAAATAGAGATACAAAATCTTATGCAACAGATTCAAACTATGAAGGCTGCGTGTTTAATGAACATTGAGAAGTTGGATTACAATTATACCGTGCTGAAGCGCCGGGAAGAAGAAAACCTTATTGTGAAGAATCAGCAGAAACGAAGAATTAATAAGTTTGTATCATACTTTTAAATATGCATTCTCAAATTCCTAAAATCCCGAATTACTCGATCGTTTTTTTAGACTTCAGGATATATTGAACGATTTGAAAAAAACGTACGCGGCTTTAGAAGAATCCACGAGACAGGAGATTCAAAAGCACACGAATCAGATATTAAAAACTCACAGAGCTATACAAGAATTGGAAGAGAAGTCTAATCAAATAGCAACCATTAACGACACGAAGTACATGCAAATCTGGGACCTGAATATTAGAACTGCGGACGAGTTAGTCGACAAGGTAATAGTTAACGATGTACGAGTAATAAGGATCGTTTCTAATTGGCATGTTTTAGATTTTAACGGCGGATAGAATTATACACGAGCAATTGTTAGGTGTGGAATGGCAACCACCGAAAGAGCAGTTGTTGAGGAAGGAGGATTTACCATCATATTGTGGTGCAATGTGCGCCATAAAAGAGAGTAAAATTCTTAAAGAAAATATTCATAAAGATTGCATATTGTTTAACCAAACAACTGTTTATCATTTTACCATTTGAAGCTTCATTTTCAAGATGTAGCAAATTATTATTGTATTGCAACAAATGTATACAACAATATACATAGTATTTTGTAATTACAAGAAGATGAAGTTTAAATGGTAACGTGGTAGAAAGTTGTTTCTTTCACCAACACAAAAAAAATTTTTTTATTGAAGAGAAGGAAGAAGCCAAAAAGAGAAAAATCATTTCTAAATCGTACAAACCAGCGACCACTCTGGAAGACATTAATCTAGAGCGAAATTTATTGAATCATATCGCTAAATTAATATCCAACCACTGTGACTATATCATTGAAGATACTTTGAAAGAGTTGCTTTCAGATTATACGGAAGATGACAAGTTGCTGATTCGATTGGATAAAATATTTACAGTAATCTTTCTTGAATAAAATTCTTTCTTGGTACTTGTATTACCAAATATATAGAATATTAATGTTTTCAGGCACTGCATATCACGTCCGAGCAAGAGCTTCAATTTTTGTTAAATTTCTTTTTACCATATGCACACTGTCCTACTTGCTCAATCAAAACCGTGAGTACACCAAGTGTTTGTGGAGCAACTAGTGAAACCACAGAAAGTTCTTCGTCCACGTGGGTGTGAAAAATGCGATCTGTTCTGAAACAAATGATTCATTCAAACTAGAATATCAATGATAAATATGAAACTTTTAGGGGCACGTTACCTCGTGTTTGTGGTAGCGATGTGGAAGTTAGTGAAGCAGAAAACAAGCTAGTGTCAGCTATGGAACAAGCATTCTGTTGTGATGAATTGTCGAAAGACACGACTAGTTCGAGCAATGATATTGCGGAATCTGCATCATCTGAAACACCTCCCGAAAATGTACAGATTGAATCAACTTGTGTAGCTGAAGGTGTTATAGAAGTCACTGGCGGTAGGTGATGAAGAATAAACTTGATATACTTACAGTAAAAAATGTAGAGATATGTTAATGGCTTAATTATATTATTTTATGTTTCTTAGCGGATGGTGAACCAAAAAGACAATTAGTGTGTGACAAAGGTCACTTGTTGGTGATTGAAACCGAATTCGTATCGAACGCGTTGAAAGATTTCGTAGAGAGATACGAATTCGTTAAAAATGTCGAAGACTCTACAGACAATAAAAAAGAGTTCAAAGAAAAAGTGACGGTATCAGGAAACATAACGGAGGATGATATAACGGAGTTTTGGGAACGATATCGTAATATCTTTTCGGAAGATAGAGAAAGACTTTGGGACAATCTGATAGTTGGTCTGAAAAAGTATTATGAAATATTAAAAGACAGACATCAGTTAAATATTGAAACTGAGGCTTTGAGAAAACAGAATGCGGAATTGCGTCGTTTATTAAACAAATATTCCACAGAGATAACGTTGAACAATGAATAAAATATTTGAAAAAATTTATTGAACATAGTGTGGAATTTTTGATAAAAATTATAAGGTTCACAAAGTCGTAATTTATTAAGAATTACAACATCATATATTTTTCTATTATCTTTCAAATGATTATACTTGTACATTTATACAATGCAGCAGTGCATTCTTGCACTATTTCAGTTAATATTAGAGGCACTATCAATAACTAAAATATATCTAATTTCTTAATATATGATCTTTTTATTTTAATTGTATATTATATTATAATATTATAAAGGAAGAGTGCCAAGAGTAAAATGTATACTTCAATACACTGATTAAATCATGCATGTGTATGAACAAACATTACAAGTGGTATCATATGTATGTGTACTTGGAAAGTCGAGTACCATTCATCAAATTAATTTGATGAAAAATAGTGTGGTTTTAGAATTGCTTCCTTTAATTTTTTCTAAGAATAAAACATTTATATTTGAATGCATCATACATGTATTAAAATAGATATATTCATTTAGTTGCACTTTTCCTATGCCTGATTTGTGAAACCTCTTGGTACAAAGTTATTTGATAATAATTAAATAAAGTTCTTAGGATGTACACCAGTCTTAGGTTTTCTCCAATGTGAAAAAACCCTTTTCTTTTTTATAGTTCTTACTTGATTTAATTTGAAAGTGTGTCTTTTTGATGTTATATGCTGTAATGTAATATTTCATCATTAACTGGTTATATATTTATTTAGGATTTGTAGTCGGAATCATAACATACCACATTGTATTGAGCTGGAGAATTGAAAATTTTGTTGCACATGTTACACGAAAGTGATGTGCTTTTAGATCCCGAGTTTTCTTGGACATTCGTAGTGGTTGGTGTCATTGAATTGCCAAATTCTTTGCCATCCCACTCACCTAAGCATCAATGTGCGATCAATACTATCTATGTATCACAACCGCTAATGCGGTTAAATGTGATAATAAATCAGCTTGAACACTACATTCATGCTATGGGAAAAGTAAACATTAATATAAACAATTCTAACAAAAGATATCACTAAATAACTTTTAACATGCATAAGCGCTTATAAATAATTTTATTTTATTAAAAAAAATATATGTTTAACAATCATTCAATTATATTGTCTTCTTACAGGTACAGAATAATAAAAAATATACTGATGATATTCTACAAAAAAAAACTGTTACAATAAAGCAAGTTAATTTTAATAATTATAGATTATTGTAAATTAGTTATTTATTAAAGGAAGTTATGGGTATGGATGAAATTAAGTAAAATGAAGTAGTACAGGGAAAAGAAATGTGTATATTACATATTTGAAAAAGATTTAACAAAACAGAAATAGTCAAATATCCTCTCAAGCTATACCAATTTGATTGGTTACAACATATAACTCAATAACTCGTGATCGAGTTTGTACTTTTTGGCAGTATTTTTACAAATAAATAAATAAATAAATAAACAAATAATATATGTACAATTTTCGCCTGACAAAAATAAATAATACAAAATACATGATATATAAATAAATAAATAATAAACAATAAATAATGATGAATAAATTATAACAAGTTTGAAAATATCTGAGTATTTTAACGATTGTTACATTAAAGCTGTTTAGGCAGTAAGCATTTCATCCCATATTAGTTTAGAAAAACAAGTGAAAAGTAAATGTAAGCAGCAGTGTTACGCATGCAAATGTGAATAAAAGTAGGCAATAAATTAGCACAACAACATTCTTTCCTATTAGTCTATCCAAACACATGGCTCGACTATATCTAATTCTATATGGAAGTGATTTTCGTGCCATGTAGGATTTATTACCTCTCATTGCTTTCTTTTTATGTCGGCTTCCTGCAAAAAACAAAATCTTTTTAATATATTATTCATATGAAAAAATATAACAAGTATTAATTTATTAAATACCATTCAAATGTGTCTGAAGTTGCTGAATAGAGTTTAGACAAACATTACACACGTTGCATTTTAATCCATTTGTTTCTTCATCTTTTGTAAATGATACTTTTGTTTCTTCAAGAGATGCCATTATGTTCTTGGATCTCATCTGTAAAGCAGGCATATGTATCTCTATATTCTTTGGCATTTATATTCTTGTAATTAATTTATACTAAAACATGTTTTTGATTGCATACGAATCATGCTACAACTTGTTACTTAACACCTATTTAGTTTTATGTACAAACCTGTTTAGCATGGCGAGCACCTTGTAAATGAGTATCTAATACTGTTTGACTTGTAAATGAAAGATCACAATCATCGCATCTAACAAGAGGCTTTTTTGTGGGTAAATTACCCATTATATTATCCATTACTGCTTTGGTTACAGGGTCATTGAGGCTTGTGGTCATTATACTTTCTGTTGATACAGCCATTATTGTAACTGAAAGTTTAACATATCAATCAGTATATCTAATGATAATATAAGAAATACATTTAACTAAATTCTAGTGCATAATAATATAAAAATTAAGAATTATATTCGCATATTACTATAACACATTACAATATTAACATTGGAATAATTATATATTTGTGAAACTATTTCGTGCGGTAATAATATAAGTGAAAAATAAGCATATTGACTTTGAAAATAATGATTATTAGTACCATTAAGTTATATATGCATACACACTGATTATGAATTATTTATTTAATGATATGATCTTTTGAATATGTATGTCTATTCACAAAATTATTTTAAAGTATTTAGTACGCACAATAAACTTTTTACCTCTTCTATGAATGTTCAAAGGTATTTAACGGATAACAGTGTTTATAAATGAAAGGTGCCTTGCGCTGTTTCGGATATACAAGTTCTCGAGTTGGTAGCCCGTTTCTTTTAGGAATATTATACTCAAGGATTATCAACTCGATATTCGATTTGATAGGTTCACAAAGTTCCTAGCGCCGTTTTTAAGGCATGTTCAACAATCGTATCATAGATCAAAGTATTACGCATAATTAATTCAGAAGAAATTTTAAATTATTCTTGAAACCACATGTATTAATGAAACTGTTTTACCGGATCGAGTTAATATACTACGACAAAAGCACTCGAAAAAGAATATAAATGGTATTGTAAATTAATACTTATAATTTAATATATATAATTATTTCATACGTAATTATTATCTTTCTTTTATTGACGCTTTTTTAAATACATTACTTGCATCATTAAGTGTTTAAATTGTAATATTCCAATACGTCATATTTAAACATATATGTATCATTTATTGCCTAATTTCTATATTAATATTAGACTAGCTTCAAATATTTCTATTTGAAATTCAAAATTTATTTGAAACGTAGGTAGATTCGAAATTCAAACGAAATAAGTAAAAACAATAAAGGAGAGATAAAAAGTTTATCCGCGATGCTTTAACAAGTACCTACTGAGTTAGCGAGCAACTGTTTCCATTGTCGGGAAATAAAATTCTTTGAACGGAAACAGTTCGTTAATGAAATAATGCATAAAATCAAACAGGTGAATGAAGCTTTGAAACAGATCGATCCAATCAGCGGTTTTCGATGTCCAGTGTCGGTCGTAGTAGAACGTAATATTCGCGGCTTAAAGAAAGATAGCCAATTAGAAAAGTTGGCGAGTATCGTCGGTCGGTACTTGGGTACGTGTGTTTGTGGGAGTGTGTATAGGTGACGGTCGCGAAATATAGTAGCAGCCATCTTATATTTTGTGTCGGAGAAAAACAATTTGGCCGTACAAATGTTTCGCGATTGTCCGTGAAGCCGCTCGAGAACGGGAGGCGTGCGCTCGATGAGGCGTGACGTTTTTCGACCCTAGCTCGGACCACTACATTAGCAAAGGTTCGTAGATTGCTGCTTTCTTCCTTGGCTACGAGCAAAAGCGACCCCCACTTAACGAAGCGCTTATGAAGAATCCGGTTTCGCAGTCAAAATATTCCGCCGTTTCCCTCGTCGCTTTTTTAAAAATAGAGTTGCCTGCGTTGCTTACTGCTGGGTTACGTTCTGTTGACGACGGCATCGTACCGTCTTCGTGTGCTTCGCGTAAAAGTTATGCAATCAGCTGATCGTTCAGCTACCTTCTGTCACTTGTCAAAGATAAATGTCAAAGCGATTGGTCTAACCTGACACGCGTATATACGAGTCGGACATGCATGAAACCGGAATTACGAGTGTATCTACATCGTCGCAGATATTCATACCTCGAGCAGTGTCCTAAATGGCAACTTATAGAGGTTCCCTGTCATGCAGGTGGATTGGTACGCAGGATATGAGCAGCTTGTCAAGCGCAACCTGACTCTGCTCCCCCAAGAAGAAGCAGCGCAACAGCAGGAGCCACAGTCACAACAGCTGGCTCAGCCGCAACAGACTGATATAATGACGTCCATGTTTGAACAACAAATCAAAAGCGAACCCATGGGGTTCTATTCTGTTGCGTCGAGCCGCTCGGATGGTTCCAATTCTATGGTTAATTTATCGGACGATCGCGAAGACCTATCACAACAAGAGGATCATCTTCAGTCCCAGCAGCAAGCGACGCTACAATTAAGCCAGCAACAGGGTCAACAACAAACACAACAGAGCCAACAGACGCAACAGAGTCAACAGCAGCAGAGTCAGACGGTGCAACAAGAAGTTCCAAGCCGCCAATCGACAGGTCAACAAACGGTTAAAGAAGGTTCCCGGTCAAAACCGCAACCTTGTAAGGTATGCGGCAAGGTGCTATCCTCTGCTTCGTCGTACTATGTACATATGAAACTTCACTCGGGCAACAAACCATATCATTGTACCGTATGCGAGGCAAGTTTTTGTCGGAAGCCATACTTGGAAGTGCACATGAGGACGCACACAGGAGAAAGACCTTTCCAGTGTGAGCTGTGCTTGAAAAGGTTTACTCAGAAGAGTAGTCTTAATACTCATAAACGGGTACACACAGGAGAAAGACCTTATGCCTGCGATATTTGTCAGAAACGTTTTGCGGTGAAAAGTTATGTGACAGCTCACCGTTGGAGCCACGTAGCAGAAAAGCCTTTGGTGTGCGACAGATGTTCGCTCACCTTCACGTCCAAGAGTCAATTCGCAATACACATCCGTACCCACACAGCAAGTACCACGTACGAGTGCAACATTTGTGGTCGTACATTTGTACGTGACAGTTATCTTATACGGCATCAGAATCGAGTACACCGTGATATGAATCAAAGCAGTACAAATCACAATCCACCTACGCCACAGAGTACAGGCGATGGGACACCAGGTACAGACTTCGAGAGTCCAGTTTGTGATTTACGCTACAGCGAAGGACCTTCTTCGTTGGATGGGTTAGCAGGTTCTAAAGGAGGCATCGCAGCTGAAATCGCAAGTTTAGCCAAGCAAAATAATCTTCAACTTCCTCTACCGCTGTTACATCCGCAGACTACCAACTAGTGTTTAGACGGCAGCGTGTCCGAGTCCCTACCACAACACCAATCACCGCAGCAAGTAGTATGTCCCACCTCGGCGTCTTCGCCGTTCACACTTAATTCACCTGTGTCTCACGAGCACACCACACCGCAGAGTGTCTACCAAACGACGGGCTCATCCAGCTCGCTGGACAGCCTCAGCTCCCAACTCTATCCGCAAATTTCATCGTCCCCTATAGAATCATCGGAGTCGCATCATCAGTCGCATCAACTGCAACGCGGCATCCCTCCGCCAGGGCTTCATCCTGCACTCTATTTATACGCTCAGTACTCGAACGCGAGTTCCCCGATCTCGTACCCCGAATATATTCAACGCAACAATTGAATTAGCCAGTTTATGCCAGCAATGACGATTTTTACCACGAACGGAGTGGACGATCAGCGCGAAAAATCACGGACTCTTCGATCGCGTGTCATTTAATGGTGCTGGTTAAACAAAGTGCCTAAAAAAGCATCCGCTTTCTGGATCGTGACGGATGCTTATACTCGATCGCGGATTGATAAACGCTAAAAAGAATTTTCACGCACCGAGGTTATATTTCGATTCTTTTTTTACTATTTTCCTTTTCTTTTTATAACGGAAATGAATGGATCAATTGTAAATTGATTGCCGTTTTGCACGTATCTCACCGATGCATTTTGATCCATCTAATGGACAACCACGTTGACGAGCGTATTTTAACGAGAATTAAATAGCACCGTTCGAAGGGACTTCTCCTCGTTTTTAACCGTTCTGTCGTGGTACATCGATGTTAGCATAAACTAAAGAAAAAAAAAAAAAACCGCGAGCAACGTTTCTACACGAGTTTTCCAAGTTTCCGCACTTCTTGATTTACCTGTTTTTTCCAATCACATCTGCGAGTACATATACATATATATATATCTATGTGTGTATATATATTATGCGCGAGAAACCATTACACATACACATATTTATATTATATTTTTAAAGGAGTTTAGTCACTTGGATCTGTGATATAGATAGTAATTATTGTCTACAATGTTTAAAACTATTGGTTTACTATTTTGATGATATCAAAACAAGGAAAAAAAAGAAAGAAAGCAATGTCACGGAGCGATGTAGCTATCAGAATTTAAACGGACATTGGTCTCTACCGAAGGTGTTTGGTAGACACCCTACTACTACTTTTACAGAACAAACAAAAACAACAACATTACTATACTAATGCTACTACTACTATTACTACAGCTACTAGTACTACTCTTACTAATACTATCATTACCACTTCCACCACCACCACCGCCACCGCCACTACCACCAATACCACAACCACCACCATTTTCCCAACTATATATTACTCTCGCTATTATTATTACCACTACTACTACTACGACTACTACTGCTACTGTTATTATTATTATTAGAAACACGCAAACGTTACTTCGTTTTAGCGCGTGTGTCGATAGGACCTGTAACTCAGTCGTCATGGTTTCTCTTTAATTTATAATTTTAAGTTTGTTCTTCTTCTTCAATTTTGTTTCCTTCCTTCACCACCTTCTTCGCTCTTTTCTTATTTCCCTATACTAATTTTTACTATACCTCGCGTGTCTGAGACGATAGATACGTGTCTCGGTGTTAATATTCTTTTACCACGTAGGACTTTACTCTGTACAGCTTTGAATCAGTTCCATAGGTGTACTTACTTTTCACATATCGAAGTGTATTGTACACACAAGATACATATTGTACATACGTATACATATACATATGGGTGTATTATAAAACGACGAGCGGATGTGCAGATCGTAAGATACTAAATACTAAGAGTGTAATAGCAGGGCTGTTGATTTTTCTTTGACTACTATTAGAGATTAGTTTTAGCGATTACTATTATTACTATTATTATTATTACTATTACTATTATTATTATTACTACTGTTCTGGTTATTACGATTATCAGTAATCTTTTTATCGCTAACGCCACAAAAGCTTAAAACGCAAAAAGCGGGGGAACCATGACAGCCGCGAGTTCAAACTCGAAAATTTTTCGTTTCCTTCGAACATTTTGCGCACAGATCAGTGCGGTGTCCGTTCGTTTCGCCGATCAAACGAAAATAGACGAGATCTCGAATTGTGCACTAGCGCGACACGCGTACAACGTGTGCGCGCGCACCAAGTGATTTTGAATCGACAGCGGCAAAACAAAAGGTATATGGTTTTACGTCGATTAGAACTGTGATGGAATTGTGCTCGCCAGGCAGTTATTCAATTTACAATATTGAAAATTACTGAATTTTCATATTTCAGCATCCTCAGATTTTTGTAATTTCTCAAATTATCAAATTTTTTAATCGCAAACTTCTGAACGCTGAAATTTCCTCGAGTTAAAAATTTACAAGGTTCTCAAAAATTTTTATCGCGACTCATCTTAGTGCATGCGAGTGTCCGGCGAGCGCGGGCCATCATCGAGAAAGGTAATCAAAAGGAAGAAACGTAACAGAACGGAACCAAAAGAAGCTAAAAAATCGCAAAACGAGAGAATAGTAAATCGCGCTAGCGTGCCTCGAACCTTCTTGTATCGTAGGTCCTTCTCGACGATCTTTTTTTAGTCTTCACGTTGAACAAAAAAGGAAGAACAATTCTCTGCGCGCGTATGCCTGAGGCTTTTGATTTAAATGAGACGCGAAGTCAAGTCACCGGGCAAGACTGATTTACTCGCAAGGGATTGCGAACACAGAAAGAGGAAAAGAAAAAAAAAAGAAATATTCTTTGTTCTCCTTGTTTGTTGTTTTCGTTGGTATTTTACGTGCGCGTGGATGTGTACATATATTTCTATTTTATAGAAAAGCGGGGAGACGAACGACGCTTTCCCGTTTCTTCGCGAAGGAAAGTCGAAGAAAGGGGAAAATGTCGGTAATCGCGTTTTGGCTCGGGAAACCAGGTGCAATGAGAGAACGAGGAAAAGAAAAAATGATAAAAGCGATGATCTTCATGCTGGCTAGTCATTGTACAGCTCTATGAGATGCTAATCGTACTACAAAAGCTGTGATTTAAAGCCTCCGTGCATATGGCCGCGCAGCTCCTAATTATTATTATAGTGATAACATATTTTGTAGCTTGTTACAACTGTAAGTACAGTAGGTAGCTAGTAGGGATACCTAAGTAAAACAAAAAAAAAAAGAAATAAGAAGGAAGAACAAATTACAGTTCCGAATTGATCGGTCGATTCTTCATTCCGATCTCTTTTCTTTCTTTCTCTTTTTCATTTCTTATCCACCCCACTTTCTCTCTTTTCGGTTCTCGATCCCCTTGCTCTACCCTCTTTCGATTTCTTCTTTTGTTACGCGTGTCTTCACGGTGCTGGGTAACGAAACGTGTCATTCCGTGAATATAGAAGAATAACAAGGATTAAGCAACAAGGTTTGCTTCTTTAATGCTTTCATTTTAGATGTTTATTAGTTTATCCGTAAGGCAATGCAGAGGATAGATTTTAATTCTGTTTTAGATTCGTTGTTTTATGACAGTGATGGGATCAGAATTCTAAATTTTTCCGATTCAAACATTTTTAAATATTTGAAAATTCGCAAGTTCTCAAATTTTCGATTCTTCATTCAGAAATTTGAGAACTTGAGAATCGAAGGGTTTTTAAATTTGCGCAGAATTTTGATTTCGGAATCTTTGGGAATTTGGAAATTTTGAAGTTAAGTTCCCAAATTTCCAAATTCGCCCGTCACTGTTTTACGAGATAATTACAAGTTGTTGCTTGTTTTTTATATATTTAAGAAATGTTTATCTTTTTATTAGCTGTGAATTCATCAAATTATGTCAAGACTGAGAAATTTCCAATAAAAGATTTTTTTTTGTAGTATTTGTAGATTTTTCTTCGCTTGTTAATACGATATTTTGACTCGTTGGTAGAAAAGCTGTTTGTACGATAAGAGAGAGACCCACGAGGGTTTTCCATTCGACCAATGATGTATTAAAATTAATTTTCTACGTTCTCTTCTTTTGTCAATATTTTATTTGTAGTTAAGCGTATACGTGTAAGTTGTAATGTTAAGCCGGAAAGAAGAAGCGCGAGCGGAGGGAAATGATTTTTCTCAATAAAATAAAATCGAGTATGCGAAATAAAACTTTTTCTTTTATTTATGTGCTATGACTTGACCTCACGAATATTTAACCTAGTATTATTTAAGGTATCATAATTCTCTTCGACGATTATTCGAACATTTTATCAATTTTCACTAACACGATCCGGGTATCATTCGAGTTTCATGCTTCGGTTACGACCACAGTAATATTCAGTATTTTACCAGTATTTTAAACGACAGAATTTCTGTCGGCAATGAGATTCATCGCTTCGAACAAATCGCGAGTTTAAAACTAATTTATGTTCTTCAAGAAAAATCATTTTCTTTCAAGCTATGCTTCACTTTTTTTATATGTGTACATTTTTGACGCGTAGAAAATTAGATATTTTTGCATGCGGTTTAGAGATAATGGCGGACAGAAATCTAACCCATTCGTAGTTAAATAAAAATGGAACCTGTAAAGCTTTAGAATTAAATATATTTAAGAATAGGACAGAAAGTTATTAAGAAATTTCTAAATTTCTGTACGCGAATTGCAATATCAAACATAATCAAACTGTTTTATAACCTAAAAATTTGCCTACGAATGGGTTAAGAAAGATTGTCTCACGGAGATTAAGAACAAGGCGCATCGAATCGTTATCCAGCACTGGAGCACACTTTATGTCTCCCTGAACATTTTAACGATCTCAATAATTCCGACCGCTACTTCGCGGACGTATTCTCTTCGAGTTCTCTTTCGTTCGTGTTACGCGTATCAAATGATCCGTGTATTATTTCGTCAGAAGAGAGGACATTGAGTAGATGAATAGGTCCTTTCTTCGAATGAGCACACGTCGGACCAATATGTAAGAATATTAAAACAAAAATATTAAGAAAGAGAAAGAAGAAGATCGCTAGGAAAAAAGGGTAATACAACAAATACGAGACAAAATACAAACGAAAGAAACAGAAACAAAAGTATACTTCAGAGGTATAATTCGTTAGGAAGTCATCGATCATCCTTACTTTTTTTTGGGATTATCACGCGTATATCGTTTCTTAATATTTTGATTGCCACGATTTAACTTTGTTAAATTAATTTTGTTGGAATATGGAAGAATGGAGATAAATCAGAATGGAGACTCGATAACTTACTGCGCTGGGGGCTCTTGGGCGAGGCGTGGAATGCGTTAACGTGTAAATTTTACATTTTTATATTTCTAACAATGTACGTTTAGAGATTTCTAAATTTTTATATTTTTACTGTTCTAAATTTTTTAATTACAAGGTTTCCAAACTTCCAAATTGTCAGGTAATCAAATTTGTAAATTTCTGAATTTCCAAATTTCCAAATTTCCAAATTCCCTAATTCCATAATTTCCCAATTCCAAAATTTCCCAACTCCTAATTTCCCAATTCCAAAATGTCCCAACTCCTAATTTTCCAATTCCATAATTCCCCAATTCCATAATTCCCCAATTCCATAATTTCCCAATTCCAAAATTTCCCAATTCCATAATTCTCCAATTCCATAATTCCCCAATTCCATAATTCCCCAATTCCAAAATTTCCCAACTCCTAATTTCCCAATTCCAAAATTTCCCAACTCCTAATTTTCCAATTCCATAATTCCCCAATTTCATAATTCCCGAATTCCATAATTTCCCAATTCCAAAATTTCCCAATTCCATAATTCTCCAATTCCATAATTCCCCAATTCCATAATTCCCAAATTCCATAATTCCCCAATTCCAAAATTCCCAAATTCCATAATTCTCCAATTCCAAAATTCCCCAATTCCAAATTTCCCCAATTCCAAAATTTCCCAACTCCTAATTTCCCAATTCCAAATTTCCCCAAATTCCCAAATTCCCAAATTCCCAAATTCCCAAATTCCCAAATTCCCAAATTCCCAAATTCCCAAATTCCCAAATTCCCAAATTCCCAAATTCCCAAATTCCCAAATTCCCAAATTCCCAAATTCCCAAATTCCCAAATTCCCAAATTCCCAAATTCCCAAATTCCCAAATTCCCAAATTCCCAAATTCCCAAATTCCCAAATTCCCAAATTCCCAAATTCCCAAATTCCCCAATTCCCCAATTCCCAAATTCCCAAATTCCTCAATTCCCAAATTCCCAAATCTGAGAATCTGAGAGTCCAAACCAATCTGAAAACCTAAAAATCCGAGAAAATGAGAAACTGAAAATTTGACTGTGGCAATCAAGATGTTAATGAGAATCGTCTTCTTTTTATTCCTTTTCTGTCTTCTCTGTAAGCTCCGCTTTTCTTCGTTCTTTCCTGTCGTTAGAATCGAGAAGAAAAAGAGAAGGTTATTATTCGAACGATGAAAGGGACATAAGAGAGAAATGGGTTATGAGGTGACGCCGAGATGAAAATGGCTTGGAGAATACCGATATTCCGTGCAATGTGATTGTTGTGTTATCGAACCATATTTTTTACATGACCGTTTTGCAAAGTGATTATAATTTATATATACATGTATGTATATTATTATACATTACGTATGTATTTGTTGAGTATATACAGGGTGTCTCAGTAAACTACGTTATAGTAACGTCTCTATTATTTTTAATTATACAGAAAAATACTTGAAGAATTATTTGATTCAGAGGAACATGTATTGTAATGAAAAATTTTTTTCAAGATTATATTTCTTAGGAGATTATCGATATTTTTTAACAACTGCAAATTTTCATTTATATTCTATGAAATATTTTACAAAAGTATTAGAGTATAATATAAAAAAATTTAATAAGTTTTATTAAATTTAATAATAAAAATTAAATTTTATTATTAAAATTTAATAAGTTTTAAAATTTAATAATGAAAATAAGTTTCAGGAAATATCGATGACTAAAAATTTGAGATTAAAAGCTCCAAAAAATATAACCTTGAAAAAGAACTTTAATTAAGATTGTTCTTCTGAACAATTCATCCTTCAAGTACTTCACTCAGTTAACAGTAATAGAGATATTTTATAACAGAGTCATCGAGGCACCCTGTATATTAATTGTCTTTGTACGCGATTAAAATTAACACGTTTTCATTTGTCCATTCAAGTGTACATATTATGTTACGATTAATAACTATTTCGTGCTCGTACGCCCGTGTCAGTATTATTACGTTTCGTCGCGAAATCTCGATGCATGTACCGCTGCCAACCCACGAGTCGGCGCGTGGCTGACGCAGAAGAGCTGCAGTTGTAAAGAAAAATGGCCTCGCACGTATTTTCGGAGGTGCATTGGCTCGAGCACACCAATTAGGCTAAAAACAATGACAGACGAGGGTGAGATAGTTGCAGCAGTTGCCATTATTTGTCGAAATGTAACTGAAAGCGTTCAGAGCTTTTATTTTGATCTCGCGCCAACTCATGGGTTGACATCTGTACATCAGTTTCATCTCGAGGTTATGGTGTGTCAATTACCATCGTGTCGATCGTTATGGAGAGTCACTGGTATTTTTTAGCACAATAAAATTTTGTAGGCATATTGGAGATATATTTTGAAGGTACTTTGCGAAGTTTGAGTAATTTGGTACAGAAGGGTTGGGTTTTTTATTAAGTTTGCGAGGACGCCATATTCCTCGTGGATTATAGTCATGTTATTTGTTGATCAAAGATTTCATTGCAGTAGGATGTAACTGGTAACGTGGAGAAACCTGTGTTGATATCGTATTACAAAATTACGTGGAATAGTAATAAGGACAGTTATTTGATCCATTCTGTGAGGATACGCTGACTCAAAGCGAACTTTTTCGAAGATCTGGTTTGAGCCGTTAATCGACCTGTATCAAACCTTTTGATTTTTTCCATGTTATATCAATTCTTATATATCGTAATAGCAAAGTAACCTTTTTATGACTCAATTTATACATTTCTAAATTCCCAAACTTCTGTATTAACAAATTTTAGATTTCTAAATATAAACATTTGCAATTTCAAACTTAATATTTCTATATTAAAACTTGTTCATTATTTTCTAATTAACATATTCATTGAGTCTTCTACATAGAAGACTAGACTGAAGGGGACGTTGTTATTTAAAATTCTTTTTCTTCAGTTATTAAATTATACTTATAGTGTTCATAATCAGTGACTCCC